TAAGTACCTCCACTACTATATTAAATAGAAGTGGCAAGAGTGAGCAATCTTATTTTTTTTTTATTTATTTATTGAATCACTGTGGGAAAGGTTACAAAGCTTTCAGGTTTAGGTCTCAGTCATGCAAATATCAAACACATTTCCCTTTACCAATACTTATTTTTTACCATGAAGAACCCCAATAAAACCCCACCCCCCACCCCTCCCCGTCCCTGTGAGGCAGATGAATTCTAGTTAACACTCTATCTGCTTTGATTAGATTCATTGTTTCAATAAAAGATTCACCACTATTATTTAGAGTTTACCCCCCCCCAAATCAGACATGCTGAAAAAGCATTGTGAAGTGATTTGCTTTCTACAGCTGGGTTCAAGAATTAAATGTTGGTTTTGGATTTCTGCTATTTTACCTATTGACCCTGGAAGTATTTCTACTGAAAGTCAGATAGTTAAGAAATTGGTTTCTGTGTTCTGGAGTCGTGGCCGTGCTGGAGAGCCGCTCGCGGGGGGCAACCGGTGGCCTCGGTAGGGCGTGAAGGGCGGAGCGAAACGCCCCCCTTCCCATGAGGTTTTAGTCGCCCCCACACTCCCGGCTCATACCTGCTGTCCACAAGGCTCCCATGTGGCCGCCATCTTTCTTTCCAGAGAGGAGAGGGCGAATGGGGCAACACCCTTTCCCCTCCGGCAGACTTGATGGGCTGGATCAACGCATAGTCCTTTCACTTTTCTGCTCCAAGCTGCTGGGTTCTGCATTAAGTCCTCGTGCTTCTGGGGCCATGGCCGTGCTGGAGAGCCGCTCGCGGGGGGCGACTGGTGACCTCGGTAGGGCGTGAAGGACGGACCGGAACGCCCCCCGACCCATGAGGTTTTAGTCGCCCTCACTCCCCCGGCTCATACCTGCTGTCCACAAGGCTCCCATGTGGCCGCCATCTAGCAATCTTATTTTGTGCCTTATCTTAGAGAGAAGGCTTTTAGTTTTTTCCATTGAGGATGTTTTTGCTGTGAGCTTGTGCTAAATGATTTTGACTACATTGAGGAAAGTTCCTTCATCTCCAAATTTGTTTAGTTTTATTATCTGCAGGTGCTGGATCTTGTCAAAAGCTTTTTATGCATTTATTGAAATGATCATGTGGTTTTTATCTTTTCTTTTATTGATATGGTCTATTATTTTTATTGATTTGTGAATGTTAAACTATCCTTGCATCCCAGGGATGAATCCTACTTAATCATGGTGGATGAGCCTTTTGATGAGTTGTTGTGTTCTATTTGCTAGTGTTTGTTGAGTTTCTTTGCATTTGTCTTCATCAGGGATACTAGTCTGTAATTTTATTTATTGTTTTTGGTGCCTCTGTCTGCTTTGGGTATGAGAGTGATATTTGCCTCATAGAAACTCTCTGGAATGTTTATTTTTCTTCAATTTCATGGAAATGTTTGAAGAGGATTGACAGTCAACCCTCTTTAAAGATTTCAAAAAATTCACTAGTGAATCCATTTGAGCCTGGGATTTTGTTTTTGGGAAGAATTTTGATTACCATTTCAATTTACTTGACGGTCATAGGCCTGTTGAGGTATTCCAAATCATCTTGGTTCAGCCTTGGTAGGCTATAAGAATCCAGAAATCTATCCATTTCTTCAAGATTCTCTTGTTTTGTGCCATAAAGATTTTAAACATAATCTGATGATCCTATGGATTTCTGTAGTTTCTGTTGTGATATCCCACTTTGCATTTCTGATTCAGTTTTTTGTTAGGTTTATCTTTCTCTGTTCCTTTGTTCATTACTGGTTTTGGCATATCAAATACACAAAGGATAGCTTGCCAGGCTCTGTCGTGCAGGCAGAATACTCTCCATAGCTTGCCAGGCTCTTCGAGAGGGATAGAGCCTTTTGGGGCAGACTCTAATTTCCCTTGTAGGTGTTCCCATGGTTCAAACCATACTAGAACCCTATCAAGTATGAAGCGGCAATTCTGGAAGATGGTTATTAAGTGTCTTATAATGTGTCACACGGCCGCAAAGCAGCTGCATGATCTGGAAAGCATCCTGGAGCATGACGGTGGCTGGGTAGTGGAGGTAGTGGAGGATTCACTACCAGGATCTCACCATTCTACAAAGAAGTGATCATCAATGTCAAGAGAGGGGTTTGGCAGGGTGATACCATTTCACTGGAACTCTTCAGTGCCACCCTCGAGAACATCATGCAACAACTGGAATGGGAAGGAATGGGAGTGAAGATAGATGATCGGCAGCTACACCACCTCCGCTTTGCTGACGACATCGTTCCAATAACAGCAAACATTAGCCAAGTGACACAAATACTGGCCCATTTCGACCGTGAGTGTGGAAAGGTCAGGCTACAGCTGAATCTAACCAAGACAATGTTTATGAGAAACAGCCTTGTTCCTGACACTCCATTTGCTCTCAACGGAACAACCATCTCTGAATGCAACAGTTATGTGTACCTAGGTCGAGAAGTCAACATGACAAATGACGTGGCACCTGAGTTGCGCAGGAGGAAGAGAACGGCTTGGAACACCTTCAAGAGCATCGAAGAATTAGCTAAGAGGATGAAGAACCTCCGGCTGTGGCACATCTCTTTGATTTCGCTGTTCTTCCTGCATTAACATATGCCTCAGAGACCTGGGCCCTATGAAAACAGGATGAGAATGCTATTCAGTTCTCCCAAAGAGGAATCGAAAGAGCTATGCTTGGAGTATCACATTTCGCTCAAATGAGAGAAAGATTCCAGAGTTCTAACCTCCATCAATGGTCAGGAATCAGGCACGCTGTCTCTTTTGCCAAGACATCAAAAATCAGTTGGGCTGGACATGTAATGAGGTTTGGAGACGACCACTGGACTAGAGCCATTACTGACTGGATTCCATGGCACGTCAAAGGATCGTGTGGCCACCCACCTACCAGATGGTCAGACATCGTCAAGACCCTGAATGATTGGTTTGAGGCTCTTTGTGTTCTTAGAATGAGCAGATGCCATTGGGTTACTCTAGCACACGACAGGGACAAATAGAGACGTTACTGGCACCTACTCGGGCAAATCAATGATCAACGGGAAGTCAAGTGATCAAGTGATCAAGTGTTTATCAGTCTCACTAGTGGTTTATCCATCTTGTTTATTTTCTCAAAGAATCAGCGCTTGGTTTCATTGATCTTTTGTATGTTTTTTTTTTTTTTGGATTCCAGTACATTTATTTCTACTCTATGTTTTGCTTTTGCCTTCCTCCTGCCTTGTTTGGCCTCTTTTGTTCATCATTTTCCAAGATCTTAAGGTGTGAGTTTCAGTTATTAACATGGGCCCTTTATTCCTTCCTAATGCATGCTTGCAGAGCTATCAACTCTTCTTTTAACACTGCTTTTGCTCTGTCTCACAAGTTCTAGTAGCTTGTGTCCTCATTTTCATAATTTCCTCTTTGATATCCTCTTTAACCCACTTGTTGTTTAATTTCTAGGTGTTTGATTTTATTGTTCCTGTATGCGATTCACATCTATTTCAGTGCATCATGATCTGAAAATATAACCGATATAATTTCTATCATCTATATTATTTTTTAATTCAGGTTTGTGTGTGTTTTGTGTGAGTGGCAATTTCTGGAAAAATCTGATAAATCATAGTAGTATATTGCTAAGTCAAATTGTTATTTCTTCATAATATTGAACTCATTATAATATTAGTTTTCAGCATACCCTATTTTGTAAACTATTGGTTGCAACTCCCTGGGGTCACAAAATTGATTTTTGAGGTTTCACCAAATTTTTAATAATAAATTCAAGTTTTATTACCAGTACTTGTTTGATTTCTATATCTAATACATGGCTGGAGTTGTGTAAAACTTTATTAGACAAAATGGTGTTGAAAGTGGAGAAAGTTTAAGAATGCCTGCAGCATACTTATTTCCAATAATGCTTTAAGTGCTTTAAGCGTGCATTCATAAATAATTCTTATCTTAAAATAGGTACTAGCATCTTTCATTTTATTCTTGAGAATTTTGTCTAAATGAATGGAGTATATTTTTAAATTTATGTCCTCACTATGGGGTTGTATGAATGGCAGGCTAGACATCATCGCATGTCTCTGATGGTGAAGTTATAATCGATAAGGTTTAAGTGATTGCTTCTGGGCATGTAAGCAGGCTGCAGATGCAAGCCATAGGGCTTTACATGTACCTTTGAAAATGTACTGCCTCTCATATCTATTTCTGAATAACAACTGCCTTTCTAACTTAGTGGCTTACTAATAAACAGTGACATCATGATTCTATAGATCAGAACTTTGGACAGGGCTGATCTAGGTAGTGGTTCTGTGATTGTACTATAGCTGGGGTCATTCACTGAGATAGATGCATGCAGCAGAAATATTTCCTTCTAATATATCATTTTATCTATGGTCACTCTTAATGTAGTCTTTAATCATTCAGTATTGTGACCTGCTCATCTTAATAGTGTGGCAGATGGATTCCAAGAGAACAAATACAAATTCTACCTATTTTCGTATAGCCTATTCATGGAACAGGTGCTCTGTTACTTCTGAAACATTCTGTTGTCCATTCTGATGGACAATCTAAATCCCTAGGTCAGTCAGTTTTCATAAGGATGGGAAGTAGAACCCTTTTCCTTATGGGATGAGAAACACAAGTTTGTGCCCACCTTTAATCATCACATGTATTTTCATGATTGATAGATAAACAGATAATTGCCAAAATATTACTGCTAGCTCAGCTACCTGAAAGTGATTGCACTTTAGTTAACATGCTCACATTTAAATGATATGCAATTTTAGGAATCTTGTGATATGTGAGTGATAATGTCAGAGAAAGAATAACTTCAGACATAATTGTGGATTCAACATATTTTTTTCTTAAATGTTTAACAGATGTCAAACCATGTGAACACACCATGAATTATAAATGTCAACAGTTTTACTCGTTGTAGTTTTAATTGTAGTACAGTTGCTTTGCTAGAGTTAATAATGGACGTCCTTCTCTTTTTCAGTTTACATAAGGTTCTAATGGATCTACAAAATCAGCAACTAAAAGAATTAAATGACTGGCTAACAGCAACAGAGGAGAGAACAAGGAAAATGGAGAAGGAGCCCCTTGGACCTGATCTTGAGGATCTAAAACGCCAAGTACAACAGCATAAGGTTTGTGTGTTTTGTGTTATTTTAGTGGAAAACAAGCTATGGGCACGTGTGTATTATTCATACATCTGAATACGTTTATACACCCATAGCACACTTAGAGATTTAAAAGACTTAAAATTTTTAGATGCAGAGAAATAAATTCTACCACCAACATTTAAAAATTATGATTTTTTCCAGTACAATTTAGCTCAGCTTTTTGTCTTTAAAAAAATTCAACCATATTGTTATATTCTTGAAAAAGAACAATGTCAGGTATGTGATTTATTGAAGTTTTGGTTTTCTGGAAGGGATTACCTGCAATGCAAATTGAAGTAATGAGACAAGGTTATTTTTTAGCACGTCTATATCTTCAATTCTTAATGTCTCGGAGCAGGTCAAGCTTGTTGAAAATTTGACATCTGTATGCTTCTTCCCTATGAAAGATAGCCTCTGTCAATGTTCTCATAGCCATCTTTTTGTTTATTTGTACATTTACAATTATGCTCCCTAGTTGCTGAAAATGTTTGTTATTTCTGTGATTAGGATTTGAACAAGGATATTCCTGTTCTCGAATTTTGAGGGCACTTTTTTCTATTAACCACTGTCAAACCACTTCTGAAGTTTATTGTAGGAACACAGAATTGAATGGGCTTTGATATATATATATATATATATATATATATATATATATATATATATATACTTACATACAAATAAAATATCATGGCTAGTCCATGATAAAAGTTGTCAGATTTAACATAAATAAAACAACAAAGACTAGTTAAGTTTTATTAAACTTCACATATACACCAGAGCAAAAATACAGCAGGAAGCACTTACTTAGCATGAGACCAACGTGAGTTAAATCTCTCTCACCCCAGATGATCCTCCAAACACTGCCTGGAGTGACTCCTGAGTGCAGAACCAGGAGTAAACCCTCAGCACCACAGGGTATGGCCAAAAACCAGAACAAAACCAAATTCAGGGATAGCATCAATTGTTTATTTCTAATTGTTTTTTGGTTTTGGTTTTCTGGAAGAGTCTCCATAGAGATTTCTGCTATTGCATTTCAAATTGTTTAATTCCGATCTGAAATTTGTGTTTTACTGGGATCCAGAATTTTGTCTTGAATTTTAGCCACACATCTCTCTTGATGATGTGTGCTTTTTGGAGTTTTAGCTTTGAAAGGAAATAAATGTTTCCTCAACTTGGATTTTCCAAGTACCCACTTCAGCCATGCTCATGTACCTTCTTTATACTGTTTACTTTTTTATTAAGGTACCATGATTTATAATGTCTTTAGTACTTGAATTTCAGACCTACAGTGTTCCAAAACCAATCCCACCACCAGTGTCAACTTCCCTCCACCAGTGTTTCCAATTTTTCTCCACACTCCAGCCTGCCTCCTTCAATGGCATGCATTTTAAGTTCAGCATTGTAGGTTGGATCTCATGCTTCAAGTTTTGTTGATTTATGTGGTTAAGATATAGCTAGCTTCAGAGTGCCTTCATGCACTAACATGTCTTCATGTTAATTTCTTATTTAAAAAGTTTTAGGTTTGTGTAAACACACAAAAAATAAAAAGGCCGGCAGTCAGGCCGTTTCCCCACTCCAGGGAGGTCGATGGCGATGGTCAGGCGAAGGAAGGAAACGAGGCCAAGCTGGTTGGTCTTAGCAGCAGTTTATTACATGGAAGAGATGTATGTCATGGAAGCCCCAGGATCTGTCAAGCACGTGCGCCTTTGTTCTCTCAGCTTTGTCCTCAGCTCCATCTTCCCAGGTTCTCTGATGCAGTGTCCCCCCAGAGAGCCCTGAAATCTCCCTTATATAGATCATAGTACCTCTAAAGGGTGCAATATAGTGATGTCATCAAAAGGAGTTACAGAAAGAACATTGAGGCAAGGAGGTAAACCATACATTGTTTCTTTACATCCATATTATTCCATATTGTTTCTTTACACCTGCAGGCCAGTAATCCTGGCCTCACCTTTTACAAGCTACAATCACTTGGATTAGCACAACAAAGACCAGTCTGCTAGAGCTTGGAATCTACATCTCCAAGATCAGCCTGCCTAGAACCAGGCATCAACATCTCAAAGATCAGGCCTTGCTTAGCACCTGGGATCTGCATACCTAAGACCAGCTAGGTTCCTGTGAGATAAGAGAAACTGCCTCAATATACTGAAATCATTTACTGAAGGCAGTTAGAAGGGGAGAAAGGTTCAGTCTCATCCAAACTAGTCAGGACACCCAGGAAAAAACTGCTTCTAGGACATGTTTCTCCTCTCCTTGTCCAACCAATATATAAGCATACATAATATGAATCATTTTGTATGGACACAGTAGGAAATACTTTGAGCTTATAGAATTGCTCTCCTAGGGCCATCTCGATCTCAGACTGCAGTGCTCAGGCCAGATATCTTTCCTATTCCTAGCAGCAGGGTCCTAGTCTCGTCGTTACTTTAAGATCATGACAGCATTTGCCTATGATCAAACTCTTAACCTATAGTTAAGAATTGTGGCACCTTGGCCTGGCCCATCGCGATGCCAGGGTAGCACATAACTTACCAGCTTGCCCTGGTTCCATCCAATCCCTTGTCGGGACCCTGCTTTTGGGGTGCTAGGAAGTGAGGGCAACTGAGGCTTAAGTTGAGAAAGCAGTTGCCCAGGAGTGAATAATATTCAAAGCCAATTAAGTCCTAAGATATAAAGCATAATATTAATTGTCTTCCTGTATCTATACAAAAAGGGCATTGTATTAAGGTAAACTATTCAAAAGACATAAGGAGAGGAGAAAGGCAATATTAACTTACAGTACAAGTTCAGTGTCCTCGAAGGATGAGACCTTATAAATTGGTTGGGGAAGAGAGCACAAAGAAGTAGTTACAGACAAACAAAGTAATGGGAGTGACTCGGGAGTGCTGTGATGGGTGCAATCTGATAAACCTACGCTCCGTGTACTCCAACATAGGTTATAGGCTGGAGAGATTGTAGAGGTGATGAGGTGTATTTGCTGTACCTAGATGACCCTGATTTGATTATTGGTACCACATACAGTCCCCTGAGCACTGCCTGGAGTGATCTCTGAGGACAGAACCAGCACTAAGTCTTGAGAACCACAAGGTATGACCCCAAACCCCCCCAAAACAGGAGTTTTCCACTTTTCAATGAGAAATTGTACCCCCAAATTTATATTTACTGCCCCCAATCCTGTTTTTACATCACTTTGGCATGTATTGAGAGGTGGTACAGTGATAAGGTGCTTTTCTTGCATCTTTCTGTGACTGACCCTGTTTCAGTCCCTCACACAGCGTATGGTATTCATTCATGACCAGGAGGTATCCATAAGCAGAGAGCCAAGAATAAAGCCTGGACACTACTGGGTGTGGGCCAAACCCCACCCCATCCCACTTCCCCCACAAAAGGGAAAACTAAAGACTAGTTTAAGAGTTTGAGGAATTATATTGCTCTGGAATTCCTATGCACTGTGTCATTTGGGGGGAAATAAAGCATCAATTCCATCATAATTTTTAGATGAGACATTAGTTGAACTTAAGATAAATCAATTAAGCCTTGTTACTAGATCTGAAACTTGACTGGTTTTCTGATGTGGCACTATGTTCCCGGCATCTCTTCTCAGTCTGTGCTTGGAGTTGGTTACAATTTCTGTATGTGTCACAGGATTCTGTCTACTGAGGGTATCCATCGGACACAGGAGAATCTCATCCACTTCGGGTGTGGGCAGGAAATGGTGGTGCTGCAACCAGCATGATCCTTAACCAAAGACAAACTGGGATGATGGAGAAATTCTCTATCATCCCTGTGCTTTAAGCAACCATTTCAAGGTTATTGCAGTTCCTGAGTCCGTGATGTAATCGGTCACACATTCCTACCCATACATTTTGCCTCTTAAATCCCTTACTCCTCTTTGTACCAAAATTCATGAAGAAGGATCTGTTGGGAGAGGACCTCAACCTTAGACAGCCTTCTCAGTTCTTTAAGCTTGAGGAAACCCCAACTTTACTACTAACAAAATGTATGCTTTTCAGACAATGTTCAATCTCCCCAGGTCCCCAAGTCTTCACTTTGCATGAAAGTGTTAAACCAGTTGATTTCTGGTGTTCCTACCAGACATGTTATTTGTGTTTCAGTTATTTTTGAAATAGGCATTTCTGCAAGAGGCAAGGGTAACCTAGGAGCACTATCAGAGTGAGGGATGTTGGCACTTAATATCTAAGGAGAAAGACAGGAAACAGGGTTCCTCAATAAAGGCTAAAGAATGATAGGGTCGCCATAGTTTGAATGAATCAGAGCAGCTAAAAGGAAAGCTTTCAGCTAGAAACCTAACAGACCCTTCATTAAGGTTAAATGAGCCCTACAGACTCTATATTCTGACAGTGCACTGGAATGTTTTGTACTTTGCCTTGGAAGATATTGAGTGAATGAAATGGAAAATATTTGACTAATATTGTCATAAAATTTGAATAGATTGTCTATTACTTTAAAATATGCCGTTTCTGACGAGAATGAAATTGCTTTAAGAGAATACTAGGGATAAAAAGCAACAGAATTATATTCCAGTTGATGATATAATCTTTTATATCTGTGACTTATTCATGTAAGTGCCTGAAGAGAAACAGAAGGAATTGGTTTTCAGGCTTAGATTCAGGCCAGCTTCTACCTCTAAATGTTGAAGATTAGTTCAGATTTTATAAAATTAAAACAAGGCGAAGACAGACGAGAGAGCATAACACTTGAGAATATGTTCTTTTCTTACACAAAGTAATTTCAGTGCAATGATAATGAAGCAAATTGAACCATTTATGAAAGAGTTGAGATTATTTAAATGTGAAGCATATATTTTCTTTAAAGTATACATGAAGAGTGTGTACCTTTTTAACTATTCTTTCTTGAGAAAGAAGAGATAAGTCTTCTTTCTTTAGATATCCAGTTCAAACCAACATCTTATTTAAACAGGAATTGATTGACTTCATCTTGTCTTCCTGAGAAAGTTAAGTGAG